GGGTGGAAGAAAAGGATGAACTGAGGGATTTTTGGTTTAAATAAATTAACTAAAAGTAAAAAAAATAAAAATAATAAAATGTGCATTGATTCTCATTAAATGTATTATACAACCTAATACTTTGTGTGAACTGTGTTTGAAAAGCATCTCTGTAATAATGTTTATGTTAGTCCTAACACTATGTTAAGCACTTAACAGGTGCTTACAACAGATTTCATGGAGTAATAGAAGTTCTTAAGGAAATAATATATATAAAAGTTTTGCATATCCAAAACAGTAGGCAGTCATCACCAGGCAAAAGAAAAACATCAAGATTAAGTTTCACATTCTTTAGACACTAAAGTAGAAAGATTAAAAAAAAAAACTCATAAAACTCAGTTCAAATTATAGCAACAGAAAGGAATACACAGTGGGTTTCCTTTTCTTAGAATTAGGGATCCTCAGATTACCTCTCTATTCTTAGATGTCCCAAGAAAGATAACAATCCAATTTATTCAGAATACTAATTGTGTTACTAAGATTGCATTCTTCCTCCTTCCTTTAGAATTAACCAGTTGGCCGGGATTTTTTGTGAAACACACTGAAAGAGCTATTGCCCCAATTTCAATAATAGAAATCATATTAGAAATCTAAGCTCTCTTAATCAATTTACAGGTGGACTCTGATGTACAATTCAAATTTATGAAACTAGTGTCTGTAAATGTTCAATAGAAGAGAATTCTTATCATGGGGGTGGGGAAGGAGATAAGGGTGAAACAAATAAGCATAGAGAAGAAACTGAGTTTAGGGGCACCTGGGTGGCTCAGTTGGTCAAATGTCTGACTCTTGATTTCGGTTCCAGTCTTGATCTCACAGTTCCTGAGCTCAAGCTGGTGTCTGTGCATTACTTGGGATTCTCTTTTCTCTCTCTCTTCCCCTCTGCCACTTGTGTACTCTCTCTCAAAATAAACAGACATTACAAAAAAGGAAACTGAGTTTAAGGCTCAGGTCACAGATGAAGGAATCTCAAATATTAACTGCTCTGTAATTTCTTGTGCTGAGAAAAAGATCCTAATTACACCTAATTACACCATCTCTCCCCACCAAATACCCATACCTACACACCTTCTTTACAAGCTGGTATTACAATGATCTCTTAGAGGTGCTTAGAGAACCAATGAAGATTGGGGGAAATTGTGTGAAATATTAGCAGAGATAGAGAGACCCCCTTTCCAGCTGGTTACCCATAGTTTTATGGTAGAACTCAGAATTGAGGATATCTTTATGAATTCTCTGGGGCCCAAAGCAGAAATGTTTTGGACACAGGAACACTCTGATTCAATTATGAATATGGTGCTTCATTTTAAAGAGAAATTTGCAATGTAAGAATTCTCAGACTGTCACCTCTCAGGGCTCTGTATGATGTTCTCTAAAACATATTGCCTCTAGGGGTGCCTGGGTGGTAAAGCGTCTGACTTCAGCTCAGGTCATCATCTCACAGTTTGTGAGTTTGAGCCCCGTGCTGGGCTCAGAGCCTGGAGCCTGGTTCAGAATCTGTGTCTCCCTCTCTCTCTCTCTGCCCTTCCCCACCCCGCTCTTTCTCTATCTCAGAAATAAACAAACATTATTTATATATTTATATTTATAAACATTATAAAAAGCCTATTGCCTTTAAAATGCCAGTTAGACTGTCAGAAATAATACTATTTATAAGAAAAATCTCCTCATCCTGAAGTATAAGAACAACTATAATGTCCTTGCTTTTAGTAAGCAAAGTAAATAAGCATTTTTTTCTAACATAAGGGAGGAATTTTAATGGCTTTCAGAGTGAAATTACTCAGATTAATTCCATTCAGGAAGCATATGCTTCATAAAACATGTATTCTTATAGAACCCGTGAATTGTGATTATTGCTGAGGGAATTAAATGTCCTATGAAGTACATTGTAAACAACAGTGATACTGAATCTGGCAAGAGCTGCAAGGTCTCCATACGTAGAAGTGATGGACAGTCATAGAGCAAAACATATCTGTGAAGGTTTTCACCCCCCTGAATGCATTCAGCAGTGTTTGTATGAAGTAAAACATCAGTGCTTTCGGGGAGGGGGGGGGGGCAGATGTACTGAAATCTGTCAGGAGAGCTGATGTTCTGGCCAGGCATTTGGAGTTTCCGTTTTTTAAATGTAAGAATTATTTTCGCTCTACAGGATGAATCAAACAATGAACATCATGCTACCAGCTTCTTCAAACAAAGTGAAAGGCATATCATTACACCTTTTTCCTTCACACATATTATAGAAAATTCCTTTTGTTCAAAATAAAAAAAAATTATCTTCAGATGGGAAAACAGCAAAGACTCCCATTTAGCTGAAATACCGAAATTGTATATAATCTCCTAAGGTATGTGGTTATATTTGCTTTCAAACTTGGCATTTCCATTTGTTGCTTTTAAACCCCAGTATCTTAATTCAATTCTATCATTTGATGTGTCCCATTAACAACAATAATCAATAGCTTCAGTAGTTTACATTTTTCTCCATGACATCTCCAAATCTTTCATCCAAAGACCACTATCCAGCCATCACAGTGAAAATCAGCGCTGGCTTTAAATGTCATTCCTATCCATAAAATGTAGTTTCGACCTCAGGCAACTGGAATTTATAGAAAATCCAATATTAACACAGAGAGAATGAGAAAATTGTCTGTTTTAAAATAGTATTGGAATTTTAGTTAGTCCTATTAGAGTTAAGGGAAAATGATACGTCTAAGGTTTTGGGGGAATTCTAGGGGAGTTTAATATGGTTTTTGACAATAAATACCTTTTATGGTATTATAAAGGTAATAAATACCTCTATAGCATAAGCTAAGAAAATGTCCTTCACATAACTTTGAACCGTTTTTAAAGAGAATTCAGAGATCTAAATGCAAAATGTAGTTTATTATCCATTCTTACATAATAAATATAGTTGAAAAACGTGGCAATTTTTTTCTTTAATGATTCAGAACCTTCACTGTGTATTAAAGCAGATAAAAATATATAGGAGATACACTGATGTATCTTTGCCCAAATTGGGCCTGTTCACTAATTTAAGGAATGTTTTATTAAATCTTTATTATAAAATTATCTCTTGGATTATTTCTTATTTTCAAGGTAATCTGCTAAAACATGCACTTAAAGTTTTATTATTTATCTACTGCAACTGGTGAGAATATGTGAGTTCATGTATTTTTTAAAGTTCTAGGATGGCTCAGTCGGTTAAGCTCTGACTCTTGGATTTGGCCCAGCTCATGATCTCAGGGTCATGGGATTGAGCCCTATGTCAGGCTCCACGCTGGGTGTGGAGCCAGCTTGGGATTCTCTCTCTCTCCTCTTTCTCTCTCTCTCTCTGCCCCGGTTTCCCACTGTGTCCTCTTTCCCTCTCTCAAAAAACATTCTAGGGTGGCTTTATGGGTATGTATGTATGTATGTATGTATGTATTTAGTTTATTTATTTTTAAATTATTTTTTAAAAATTTCTTAATGTTTTATTTCTTTCTGAGAGAGAGATAGAGACAGCATGAGCAGGGGAGGGTCAGAGAGAGAGGGAGACACAGAATCCAAATCAGGCTCCAGGATCTGAGCTGTCAGCACAAAGCTCGATGCAGGGCTGGAACCCACAAACCATGAGATCATGATCTGAGCTGAAGTCTGACGCTTAACCGACTGAGCCACTCAGATGCCCCGCTTTATGGATATTTAAAGGGAGACATAAAATTTTATTTATGAACTATCATAAGTCAATTAAGTTACAGAACATTTTCTAACCATTCATCTAAGAGTGACCAAAAAAATTACCTTTGCCTTGTTTCTACATTCTCAAGCCATGGGAGATATCTACAAAGATAAAGTCAGGCATTGCTCTAAACGAACTATTTCCGATGGTCAAACTAACTTAACACACAGTGTGGAGAACCAAGTGGAGTCTGAGGAGAATGGAAGAAACAAGTGAGGAATTTGAGACGCTATTAACTGCTACTATCATCAGCTCAGGAAACTCTATCAAGTATCCTATCAAAAAGAAAAAAAAAAAAAAGGAAGATGGGAAAAACAAGGAAACAAAGAGGAGAAGAACACTGTGTATTATGATTTGACTGTGGAATTAGTTTTCAACCCTGGATATACGATTACTTTTTTCATCATAATTTAAATATACAAAAAAATTATCCCAAAACTGGATCATATTACTTTAACACTTCATAGTCTATTTGAGATACTAGGAAAGTTCTAATATCAAGTCAGAAAACTCAGCTATATATAACAAAACTCCATTAGAGCTCAGAAAATTCTATCAGGCACTGAGAATAAACTTAAGGAGCCTCCTTGAACTACAGAATATGACTCGCGCCAAGACTCCATTTAAACCAAACTACCTGAACTTCTGTTTTCACTGTCTATGCATATGAAACTTTATAGCAATAATTTTTGTTTCTAGGAAAAACAATTGTCTGAAAATTGCCTGATCATTAACTAGGACAAATTCACCCGCCTCATTTTTCTTTATACAGATCATGTTAGGAAGAAGGCTACAAAATGCCAGATTAACATTTCAAAATGTATTTGAAAGTAATGAAGGGAAACTGATTCAGTTAGCAACGCTAAATAAAACAGACAATTCATACAGATGCTTTCCCTGTAAAATATTAAATAAACACTCCAAAATGGCAACTTTTTCAATTTAATAAACCAATCTCCCATTTATGTCTCTGAGCAAAGTTTCTCCCTGACCAAAGCTCTGGTTTTAAGTGCAAGTTTTTCCTGGTTCAAAGTGTGCACGATTTAGAAGACTGGGATATTAAATGAAATACTAAACGACTTTTCCTTCTTTGTCTGCCTCGTTCCTTCTTGCCCAAATGCAGAAATATATCAGGCCACATGAAACAACGATTTCAGTTTGTCCCCAGCATATCAATTACAAGGACAGATGCCGTTAATCGCTCATATGGATTATTCACAAGAGGGCCAAGTAGAAAAGCTTTACTTACTTGCCATTGCTTCATCAGTTCTCTTACTCCCTTGGAATCTTCCAGGAGCCGTTCCTTATGAGTGGCATCCTGCAGGACGTTGGCAGTTGTTTCGGCTTCTGTAAGCCAGGCAAGGAACTTCTCCAGGTCGAGGGGGAACTGTTGTAGCAATCTATGGGTTTCTTCCAGAGCGGCCTCTCGCTCACTCAGTCTGCAAAGGAACAAACGTCCAGATGCAGTTCTCCTCAGATATCAGAAGGGTGCACCCAGGGACCCCCATAAAAAGAGCAAAGATAAAGGGACTAAACTGTAATGTATCAGCAAATGGTGGGTTACTGCTAAAAGTCCTCTTAAAAGCAACAACAGCTAGAACAGTGTGTGCATATGTATGTATCATATGTATGTATATATACACACACACATATATATATGTGTATGTACACACACATATCAGAAGAGCTGTTTACTCATCATGGGTGAGGTTTTTGCTGAGCATACAGTCTTCCACAGCGTAGTTTTGGTGCTCCTACTGGAGATATATAGAGAGACTTTGGACTTTGGAAAGTTCATAGATGAACTCACAAAAACAGTCTTTTTTTTGTAACTTGATAGTTTTCACTGGTCAATTTTGACACCTTATCTTCATATGCTGCAAAAGTGTAAGCTCATCTTTACAGGTAAAGCCCCCAAATCCCTAGACCATGCTTATCTTTGATGTCACATGGGGCAGAACATCAGGATTAGGTAGGCAAGGAGAAAGCTCAAGAAAATGCAAAGCTAGGGGCGCCTGGGTGGCTCAGTCGGTTAAACGTCCGACTTCGGCTCAGGTCATGATCTCGTGGTTTGTGGGTTGGAGCCCCGCATCGGGCTCTGTGCTGATAGCTCAGAGCCTGGAGCCTGCTTTGGATTCTGTGTCTCTCTCTCTCTCTCTGCCCCTCCCCGCTCATGCTCTCTCTCTGTCTCAAAAATAAATAAAAACTTTTAAAAATTAAAAAAAAAGAAAATGCAAAGCTAGAACAGAAAGTTGAACAAGGGAGGGAACCAGACAGAGAAGGGACTGCAGGGCAAAAGAGAACAGAAAGAAGAAGAGAAGAAAAATGACTTATTTCAGAGAAACCATTGTGCAAAATATCATTTTGCGTAACACTATTGTGTTCTAATAGTTGTAACTATGGTGTTAGCGTTAACATTTCATTATCTGATGGTCACAGAATTGGGAATATTCTCCTCAAGAAAAATGTCACGTGTAATGGAAAAAGCAGAGCTTACAAACCAGACAGATCTGGGTTCAAATCCCACTATTCCCTACCAACTGTGAGGCACATCTGCCACACACACTTAGCTTCACACTGCATCAGGGTTACTCAAACATGTTCATTCCCTTGGCCCACAGCTTATTCCCCTTCCTCTCATCTTTTAGAAGGAGTGAACCAAATTCCCCAGTGACACACAAATCTAAAAAAATTGTTCATATTTTCTGATTTTATATACAGATGTATAAATATAAAATATGTATATGTAATGCATGTATTGTGGATACACTCACATATGCCCTCAGCAAAAATCTACATAATAACAGCTTGGAGGGAAAATTGCCTTCGGCAGTAACAGTCCCATCTAAAAAGATTCAGGTAAATTTTGTCTGCAATGAGGAAATTAGTACTCTATTTAAATGCCTTATTTGCCTTCTATTACTACACAAACACTTTCTGGGATTAAACATAAGCTAAAAATGGATTTGAAAAAATTGAACACTTGAATATGATACACACTGCTTGTTAGGATGTGATTGTCAATAATTATGCAAAACTGCAATTTATTTCAGCAGCAACTTTATCATGGGATGTGCAAACCAGGCAATAAACAACTCCTGCCGAGCCAGCGGCAGCGAAGCCCCCGGAAGAGCTGTTTATTCATCATGGGTGAGGTTTCTGCTGAGCACACAGTCTTCCACAGTATAGTTTCAGTGCTCATACTGGATAAAAATCTTCTGTCTGCATTAACTGGTGGAGGGAAGAATAGGTTTATGAGGATGCAGCTATCGGAAAAAAGGAAGCAGTGCACTGAGCTATTTATCAGCCCCTAAATAAACTTTAATACCACGCAGCTGAAAGGTACCTTGGTGTTGGGTTTGGGCAAATCATTTAAACCTTGGGTAGTTCAGGGGCTGATCTGGACTGCTTGCTCCCTGCTTATCTAGATTTCCAACTATCAATGGAGAGAGAAATACCAAAATCATTATTTATTTATCTTTTCAGTCGGTGGGATTTAAAAACTCAGAACCATCACAACGGCACTGAGAATCTTAATGTTATGATCTGGCATGAAACGGACAGGTGGAAGCAGGTGCAGCTTGCTGACAATTGACCATTTCTGACCAACTAAAGTGGCAATTTCATCCAGTTAAAGCTAGTATTTCTAGGCTGGCTTGCATAGGAGAAATCACTAAGACTTACTCCACCTCCAGCCTAAAATTTGGGACATTCCAGAAGACAAATTCAGGGTTAGACAATAACGTATTTTTTAACACGCTCCAAGTTCATAGAGAATAAAGGACAAATATGAAACTCTCACTGCAGAGTGAAGCTTGGAGAATTAGATACTGTGCGTATTATTCGCAGCATCATCTTCATCGTGAGTTGCTCATGAACCTCCCCTATTCTTAAACTAAAAACGCCACTTACCCTCTGCTTCCAGAAAAAGTAACTAGTAAATAACTCTCCAAGACTTATTGGTAAAATACGATGCACATAAATCAGATGAAAGTGTTCTACTGAGACAATGAGATTTCCAGCCAAATCCTACCAGTGAGTTTGCTGCTTTGTAAATTAGGCCCTTAGGGAAGAGCAGTAACTCTTTCATGGCAGTGAGGCACCATTTTCCTAAACAATACCCTCGTGCTCTGAAATATTGACAACATCAGGCTGAATCTTTTCTAATTTAGAAAATATGTTTAAAAAATTCAATGGCCACAGCAGCGGACAATCTCTTCAAATGAGTTCTTTTACAGGCCTCTTTGATCAGGGGGGAGATTGTTGTTTTATGCTCATGAGGGGGGTTTATGTCTACATCCTTTGTTCTGAGATCAATCTATATACACCGAATTCCTAAATTTTAATCGTGCCAAGTCTAGACTAGAAATGAATCAAGGGTACTTGTGCGCTGTATTTGTGCATTCAAAATAGCCCTGACTGTATCTCATATTTTTTATTTTTCCATAACCATATGGCTTTAAGTGGCTTTTATGATAAATAAAAAATGTAGAAGTAATGAGAATCATAAAGAAATTTAAGAGGTCATTTTAGAACAAAAGTGAAGATTTTGAACAGGATTATTCTTTAAATTCCTCTGTCCAGGTTGCCGAATTATAGACCCTGGCGAAAATTGGGCTGAACTATGAAAGTAACAATGACCGGATATCAGTAATAGCAGTAATACTTTACAAATATAATCTACTGTATAGGTTAAGTACTTTATATAATACATTTTAATTACCAGCTATTCTAGCTTTATAATGTACAAAAATAACTGAGAACCAGGTGGAGTATGGCATGGTATGGTGACTTTAAAAGGTTTTCTTTCTATTCAGAAAGGGGCCACATACCAGAGTCAAGTGTGGAAATATGAGCGGTGTGGTACAGTGGTTCTCAAAGTGTGACCCATAGACCAGGAGCATCAGCATTATCTGAGTACTTATTAGAAATGCAAATTTTCAAGCCCTACCCTAGACCTGCTAAATCAGAAACTCTGCACGTGGAGTCTAGTGATCTGTGTTTTAAACAGCCCTCTAGGTGATTCTGGTATTTGTTAAAGTGTTGAGATTCACTGTCAGTGGAGACTCACCTGTATGCCCTAGCTTCTGAGGAAGCTGCTGGAAGTAGGAGACATCCAATGATTGGTTAGTGTGGGGGCTATACAAGCCTGGCCCCCTTGCTCCAACTTAGGACAATTCAGGAGGATGGGGGGAACAGTGGTGGGGGGGGGGTGTGTGTGTGTTGACTGATGCTGTGGTTGCAACTACATTGAAGGATAGCTTCTCCTTCCCTGTCCTGCCTCCTTCACTTGCCCTCTCTCACAGGTGTTAATCCCAAGAGCACTCTCCAATACAATTCCTGCAGGTTAATTGCTTTCCCCAAGTTTGCCTTCTGGGGAAACTGACTTGATGAACAGTCACACTAAGGATTTTAAAAATATACATGCTTGGGGCGCCTGGGTGGCTTAGTCGGTTAAGCGTCCGACTTTCGCTTAGGTCATGATCACGTGGTTCGTGGGTTCGAGCCCCTTGTCGGGCTCTGTGCTGACTGCCAGCACAGAGCAGAGCCTGTTTCAGAGTCTGTGTCTCCCTCTCTCTTTGACCCTCCCCTGCTCATGCTGTCTCTCTCTCTCTCTCCTAGAAATAAATAAAAATATTTAAAAAATAAAAATAAAAAATAAAAATATACATGCTTAAGAGATGTATGTGTAGACATATACAATTACGTGTGTGGACTAGAGTCTCGAAACAGGACAGGATGGAGAATTCTCACACCCTGGAAATGAGCCTGAAGAGCTACTGCACCTTTGGTTGCTCTTGAAGAAGATCAGGAGATAATGCAGACTTGTACCATCACCAGTTAGACGCAAGAATGTACTGAAGGGGTGGAGTGCTGTAGCTACAGAGCTTAGTACAACCCCATGGCTGCCCAAGAAGGTGCTCGTCTAGAGGGAATTCTGTAGAAAGGGGAGGGATCAAAGAAGGCATGTCTTCAGCATCTCCATTTTCTTTTCCTTTTTTCTTTTAGAGAGAGAGAGAGAGAGAGAGAGAGAGAGAGGCGAGTACAGTAGAGGGGCAGAGGGAGAGAGAGGAAGAATCATAAGCAGACTCCATCCTGAGCATGGATCCCCTGAGCCTGGGATCATGACCCAAGCTGAAATCAAGAGTCAGGTGCTCAACTGACTGAGACACCTAGGCGCTTCTCCATTTTCTTTTTAAGAACTGATTATCAACGAGGCAATCACACAAGTAATACTCTGATCTGTCACTAAACACCCACACACCTATCAGGGTATCTTTAAATAAATCTCTAAGACTCCAGATTTTCTCTTAAGTTGAATATCAGCAATCTCTTATGGGTCAACCAAATACATAAAAAGCAAATGAGGAAAGGGAAAGTTAACTATTTTCCCAAGTAAGGCTATAGAGCATAATTAATGTATAGGCAATATTCCACA